ATATGAGTGTAAAAATGATATGGAAGGATGCACATTGTTAAAGTCCAAAATGAAAGACAAAACTTCCGCTTCTCTGTGTTGCCAAATTACGAAAATGTCGTCAATAAATCTCTTATAGTAAAACGGCTTCAACGAACAACACGTCAAGAAATTGTTTTCGAGGATTCCCATAATATGTTCGCGCAATTAAGCACTATTTTTGTACTCATGGATGAACCGCTGACTTGGGAATAGTGCACGCCATTTTATTCAACGTTATTATATTGTAGGATATTTCTAACAGTATAGCTAAAGTGGAGCTATCAAGAGACTTATAAAAAGTGGAGTGATCATAAGCCTCAGCCATGGCGCGTATACCATCCAGGTGAGGTATGTTTGTGCAAAAAGATGACCCATCGAGAGTTACAAGAAGAGAGTTGATAGAGGTACAGTAAGCTTGTTGATATCTGACAGGAAGTGGTTCGTGTCACGTAAAATTGATTGGAACGTGGCAGGTATCGGGTTGATCAGGCCATCAACATAACGCGATAGACTTTCTGTTGCCTCGCCGCGGTGGTCTAGTGGCTAAGGTACTCGGCGGCTGATCCGCAGGTCGTGGGATCGAATCCCGGCTGCGGCGAATGCATTTCCGATGGAGGCGGAAATGTTGTAGGCCCGTGTGCTCAGATTTGGGTGCGCGCTAAAAAACCCCAGGTGGTCGAAATTTCCGGAGCCCTCCACTACGGCGTCTCTCATAATCATATGGTGGTTTTGGGACGTTAAACCCCACATATCAAGCTAGGCTTTTTGTTACGGTGTTGTCGGAAACAATTGGGCGACCTGGGTTATTTTGTTTATGAATCTTTGACAACAAGTAGAAGCTACCTGCGATCGGATCAAGAGGAATCAGAGAAGTTGCCTTATCCGTTATTTTTTTTATCCTTTGTCAGCGCTTTAATTGTGCTGCCTAGCATCGCCTTATATTCCTCAGTCGGATTGGCATCGAGTCGTTTGTAATGACGTATTATCTGCTAGCTTCAGTGACATATTTATTTGTGTCCATAGTCACGACGGCACAACTCTTGTCCGCAGGTTTGATTGTGATATCAGTGCGCTGTCTTGGATCTGCTATAGCTTTGATTTCTCGGTTCGATAGGCTTCTCAGGAAAGAAGGCCGCTCGTTATAAGCTTGAATGATCTCGCGTGACCACTTTAATAATTAAGTCAAGGTGTTCGTCCCGTTGTGACGAAGGTGTCCAGCGTTTAGTTGAAGTTAAAGCTGTTGGATCATCGGCCGGAGCTGGCTGATCGAAGAAATATTCATGCAACCTCATATTGCGAGCGAAGTTATCTAAACCTTTGTACAACTGAAACTCATTGTAGCTGCCACTTGCAGTACAGAAGCTTAAACAACCAGATAAAATGCTTAGTTCTTCGTTGTACAAAGTTGTGCTTGAAATATCAATAATGTTATTGGGCACACGGGTACACATGGCTTTCCAGACTGAAGACAGAGGCGTTGTATTGGGACTTGTGACACCATCTCTGAGCAGTTTCTTGCATTTAAGCGCGTTGACTTCACGGAGTTTCTTTCGTTCATATGTGTTTAGAGACAACGATTCTTCAATAGAAAGGGCATGGTGATCGAAAAGTTGGTGATCCCTATTTATGAAGGATTTTAGTGAAGACCAATAGCAGTTTAACACAATGCCTACTAGCTGAACTGTGGCATTCTTTAGCGTTTCAAGCCACTTTTTTGCTTTGCACATGGATATCTTTGATGCGGCAGGACCGCAGACAGACCCTTAAATCACTGTGCGCCATAAACGCCGCTGAATACGCTTCTAGAGTGGACACATGTTGCTCATAACGTACACGTTTCTCGATAACACCAAAGCACATCCGTCTGTACGTAGAGCGCACACCCGTTTATCTGCTGCACATAGCCGCCAAAGAGTGCAACGAGCGCTACACATAATATACAAGGCATGGGCGACAAGAGCTGCTTTTCCTCGTTTATACAGAAGCAAGCCGGGATTTCCGCACACCTCCGAGACTGTATACCAGACTTGGCGCGTGCGAATCGCAGCTGGGCTGTGTGGTTTTCCGGTCTTTCTTTGTTTTTTCTGATAGCAGGCGGAGACGTCTCCGTGGAAATGAACGGTCGATGCAAAAGAAAGAAAGAAAGAAAGAAAGAAAGAGAGAAAGAAAGAAAGAAAGAAAGAAAGAAAGAAAGAAAGAAAGAAAGAAAGAAAGAAAGAAAGAAAGAAAGAAAGAAAGAAAGAAAGAAAGAAAGAAAACGTGTAGTCACCTATTATCAGCCGAAAGACCATCCCGTGGAGTTGTCGCTGAGTTGCGTGTTCAAGTCTGCGTGCATGTGAGTGTGTCGCGACGATGGCAGTGCAGAGGACTACCTTCTCTCATCGTAGGCGTCAAGGTTGCCGAACTACGGGCGTGATAGGTATTGCAACTGTTCGGAGAGACAACCCCCGTTGGGCTGTTTGCAATGCGCGTGACTGCAAATGCGTAGGTGACAGCGCGCCACGATTCATCCTGCTGCGAATGACGTGCCGGGCGGTTTTTACCTGTTCCTGGCGCGAGCTATCTTGATTCGTTTGCTAGTACCTGTCTGGCTGGCCTATGCGCCTTCGCCGCGATCCCCTTTGAATTGACGGTACTTGCGCGAAAATTGTGCAAGCCTTGAGCTGCAAGCTTTGATTCATGGGGTTTTACTCCCCATGCATAGAATCAGATGATAGTTCTAAGACAGTGGAGGGTACTCCTGAGAAGATGTGACTGCCTGTGGTTATCTGGCGAACATCCCAGTGCACACGATAGTTTTTTAAGAGCGAAGTTGCTTAAAGCTAGCCGTAATTTGTGCGGCCATAAAGGATGTGCAGTGCGGCCCACGTTAAAACTGTAATCATTTTAAATAGGTGTGTGTTACAGGCTAAATGCCGCTGTTTACCACTGGTCCACTAAAAATGGAACAAGAAAAACTATCGTCATCCAACTGGTATTTTGGTGCCTCCGTTTTGGGACATTGCCACAGAGATGTATTTGATGCGGTGTGTAATTTTAATTCAAGCCACTAAACGTATTTCAACGTAATGTCCACTTTGACAAATACCCCCCAAAAAGGAGCCGGGAAGTAACTTTCAAAATGTGAATAAGTATATAGACATACATCCCAAATATAGCTTGGTTTGGCAAACTCAGCTGTCTGGTGGGCTCCCAAGATCAAGTTATAGTTATATTAGTGATTATTTTATTTTTTACTTTTTCACTCGCTGGATTTTTTTCACAATGGGTTCCTTCTTGTACATTTTTTTTTTGTCAGCAATAGTGCAGTAACCGTTAATGAGACACTATATGTTTTCTTGACCAAACCCTCCGAGTGAGTACGTGCCATGCATTGCAGGCTACATACAAACAACTGGTATGTGCCACTGTGCCTATCAGAAAAATATCATTGTCATAAACGGTTATGTGGACCTATGTTGCATAAATCGCACTGGTCCACTAAAAATGAAGAAGACAGCAGTTCGGCCAAGAAATGGCTGCTAAGCGGCGAGCCGAAGACCCCCAATACATAAAACGACAGAATAATGGTATGGGCAACGGCGGCTGCAAGTAGACTCCGATGCGATGGAAACCTATCATGGCCTCTGTGCGAAGTGCTAACGCTTGGTTTCAGCGCGAGTTTCGGTCTCTGGAGCTTGGACATTCAGTAACTGTCTGGGGTTTAACTCGGACCTCTCTGCGCTGATAATTAACGCAGAAACAAACTAGCACAACGTAGCTAAAGCCTTGCAATGAGCTAGAAGCAACCAGGTGAGTCTTGACAATCGTCCAGTTTCGCTTTTTCAAACGTCAGTGCAAACCTTAGGCTTAGTGCAAGCATCGTTTTTTTTTATTGTTCATTCTATCTCTTTGGCATCAAGGCCAGAATCTGAACCCACGACCGCGCAACACCGGACACGCAAACATTCGGTGGTCGTATCATCCGCGTTCAATAGGTGGCCACAAATAACTGAGCACCATCGTGCAAACAGTAACTGCATAAGTGGCGCATTACGTGTTCGCGTCAGGTGAGGCAGTCCGTAAGCGATCAAGCTCGATGACCTTTTCGTATTCTCTTTCAGATTTTTCACGTCTACACAACGGTATGCAACGTTGTATGGACCTTGTCCCAATGGGAATCGTACCTCTAAGTCACCGGCTCATTCATCGCAGAGGAATTTGTACATCCGCAGACAGATGTAAGATGATGCGCAGATCAAAATATAATGCAGCTGTGTACTATCCGAATGAGTGAACCGGATGATCAGTATCGAAGTGCCATCCAGCTGAGGCATAACGGTTCGTTTTGTACGTGGATTGTACAAACATAACGGGGATCTATTGAACACGTTGACTCAATGGTCATTTCCGTCCAAATAAGCTCTCACCCAAATGTGGTTAAACATGCGCGAGAGAAGTATCGGCGTGGCAGCATGATTTACCCCTGGCGATCTGTGAAGGATATAGTTGGGGTGAACTATTAGCTACGAAAACAATGAAAACCTGAGTTCTGTAGCCTAAACACACGCACGGCTAACAAGAGTGACAACAAACCACACTACCATCTTGGCAGTTTTTTCTGGCGTTGTATTTCTTCCTGTCACGATGATCCATCCTTCCATGTCTGTCGACAGAATCCTTCTAGTGGTGGTGGTAGTGGTTCGGTGAAGAAGGAAATAGACGCTTATTTCTGCAGCCCTTAAGGGAGCACGGCGAAGCGTCCCTTCAAGTCTTGTTCCCTCGTAAGCGTAACTCTACAACGGGCTTCGCTGCCATTCGCCGCGCCACTCTTGTTACGCACCTGTGCAAGGCAACACGCTGCGTCGAGTGCCAGCCCAGCGGAGGAGAGCCGCCGCCAAGGCCGCCTGGTTCCTCCGCCGGTGCAAGGGCGCCGCGACCGCGATAAGGACAGCACGCTCGCGCGCCCATCTAACGAAACGCAACCCGCTCGCTCAGCTGTTTGGTCGCCGCCGCGTACTGTGAGGCGACGCGCGCGTGTGGTTCGGGAACTCCTGGACGTCAGGCGGCGTTGGACGACGACTCTCACTTTCCTCCAAGTGGGGACGACCCGGACGAGGAATAATAGTGGTGAGGGGGCTGGAGAGGAGGCACGCAAGGGAACAGAGACTGCGGCGGCCGCCTTGGTCGCGGCCAGTTATTTCTCGGAAGCCGAGCGACGCAAACGGTGCGCGCAGCGGCCGAAACGTCGGCGTACTCGTTCTTTTGCAACGGCCCAGAGGAGCACGTACATCCGAGAGCTGGCCCGCCGACGCCTTCTTCACCCTGACCGACCGCTTCTCCACCGCGCAGCCCGTCAAGAGTGGGCGCACCCACGTCGACGACTTTGCCGTCGATAGAAGCGACTGTTGACGGTCCCGACGCTGCTCCCGATCGGCAGCTCACCAACTGCACCTGGCTGCTGCGCCGTCATCTTCCACCCGCTTCTATAGTGCGCCACACTGGACGGCGGCTGTTCCGCGCTCCATATCACTTGTGCGGTGGAGCCCAACTTCAGCCGGTGAGTGTGCACGCTATCGCGACATGCATGACGGCAACGCATATTGCAGTCCGTAGATTCCACGGCTCTATTTGGCGTCTCGTAGCCCGCTAAACGGAAGAGTGGCGGAAACGAATTCTGGAAGAGGCAACTAGCATGATTTGGAAATTTCTTAAGGTATGGTTTTTGTTCGAGGTTTTACACGTGCGTGGTATGCATCAGGCGCGTTGTCGTCGTGGTTTCACCAACTGTTGAAATTGCCCACGGATACTTGTAGTCTGCAATGCTTCAGCTGGTAATCAGCAAAAGAAATAACATTGACTGTAATCATATCAACATTCTGAATGAGCTTGTCGCTGCTTACGGGGCGACGCCTGGATAGATGTAGCTTCACACAAAAAACGCTCGTACCTTCGTAGGCGTATGCTACTTCACTGTGATGCTTGTGAGCAATGTGGCGCGTCCAGGATCGTAGCATCGCGGTGCTACGATCCTGGACTGTGCAATCATCCTGGAGTTTTTGGTGTCCTTGCTATAACGGTGGCTAGTCTGCGACATGTCTTAATCTCTGGCTATCATTGAAGTGGTGAGGTGGAGGGCTTTCTTTTTTTTATTTTTGCAACGCGGTATCACTTTGCTCTGCTTAACCTTGCTTCCCTGACTTTGCCTTTGCTACTATCGGATACCCCCCTCCCATTAGTTCCCTCCCGAACTTACTCTTCTGATTTTTTTTCGCCTGAGCTTTTGCTGATGCTCAGAGATGGTTCGAGCTAAAACAGCAAGAATTACGGTGCTAACGTGTTGTTCTTTGTGAGACCGGCCTGAGAAAATGTGGTGTCATAAGGGAAAAAAAGCAAAATATGGAGGACGAAAAGCTACTGTGTCACTGGCTGCCTCTCCGGAGAACAAAGCTACCGTTCTACACAAGCAGCGCGTGTATTATACATGCGGCTCAAGACGAAGAGCCATGCATTGTCTGCAAATACGGGCAATTTCTCGAGCGCTCGACAGAAAAGAGGGGAAAATCAAGAACCTGCTTTTTCTTTTGGGTTCAACGATGGAGAAAGCTACAATTGCCTCGTCGACTATCCGGAAGCGGCTAAGAAGAGGAAAAAACAACAACGCTGCCAGGAAACGCAGAAACCGAGGGCTGTACGGCCCGCTGCCCATTCCATACTTATTCCGTATTCCTCTCTCTGCTCATATGCTGCGTGCCGCGTTGCTTATACTGTGCCGCGAACTTTGATCGACGACCATTCTGTAAGCTGGCGTGCCGTCATTTGTATCTGTTCCAAAGAAGAAAAAGACTGCCTTCTTTCGATTTCATTCCCTTTTGTCTCTGCGCGACACGCAGACTGGAAAAGCACGGCCTTCCCAAGCGCAGAGCAGCAATAGTGCGCATGTGTCCGTGGTGTTGTCGTTCCAACTGCCGCGCATGATGCATGCGGTTGTTGATGATGATGGTCGGCGACCGGTTGTGTAATTGCCTCTCGCGCGCAGATTGTTTTTCCGAGAGATCGAGCGACCGGGGCCTGGTACGGGCGGGCGTCCGTCTTCGCTCTGCGCGGTCCTCTTCACTTTCTCCGGCAGCGTTTAATACGGAGATCCTGTTGGCAAGCGATCAAAACGAGCCTCTATGGCTCTTCTTCCTCGGTCCGTACCAGCTGGAACGGGACCGCCCGTTTGCGACCACAGCCGTGTAGGTCGCTGCAGAGGTGCTTTGCAAAGCAGAGATAGGTGAGAGTGGTAATAAATTCAAAACAGTGCTCTTTGGATTAATTAGGTGGCCGCAGTGTGTATAGTTACGTCACTTGAGGCGCGACTAAAGGTGGCGGCGAGTGTGCAACACTGAGCTTAATGGATATATCCGAGCTAAACGTGAAGACGCCCTTTCATTTTCATTTTCCTCGTTGTGCGACCCGCCTGCGCGTTCAGAAAAAAAAACATAAAGAGTTGTCTGAAGGTCGTGACAACCACTACGAGGATACATTTGAGGCATGGAGGCTGTTTAGGTGAATCCCGGGACCCCCCTCCTTCCCTATTTTTCTTTTCTTTTTTTGCTTCGTCTTAATTGACGTGGTATAGCAAGGGCAGCTGTATGCTTCGTTCCCAGAAGCGCCCAGGCGACTGTATGCACTGGTGCAATTCACTCTTTCGTCGAAACGCTGCTGCCGCTGTTGTTTTGAGCAAAATTGCTAGCCCGTAATTGCTTCGAGGTATATTTTGTCGTCGCGTATTAGAACAGGTCCCATTTACGCCCGCGTGATAAGACGCGTACATTACAGGGAAAAAGAAAAGGTAAAGTCATGTTTTATATGTGATTTGCGCGTTCAGCTGCGCAGGCGATGAACGAATAGAAAACGGCAACAGCCTCGGCGCGTCAAATGTTGTATTCGTGTGATTGCACATACCTGTCTTCCGTGTCGATCTGTGGAAGTAATGTGGAAGATAGGTGGAAGTAATGATGTCCCTGCAGACACGTAAATGGGGGCGTTATGACATTAAACTTTGGAATTCAAATGTAAAAATCGACAGCTAAGGAGACTGGACGCTGTCGATTTGCCGTATGTGTACCCCTCACAAAAAGCGCAGTATTCATGTCGGCCTACCAGCAAAAATAAAGAAAGTGTAATTTAACTAAGCAAATATTTGCAGTAGTGTGCAAAAGCCGAATTAATTCCCGCGTGGCACACTGCTGTGTTCCAGGCAAATTTAGGGCTTTTTCTTTAGGTAGATGTGCAAGAACTCGACCGCTCTTGCCCTCGCCCACGTGTGTCACATTCTACCCATACATTTCAACTGGGACAACAATAACATCGGCTGATTGAAGCCGAGTAACTCATCGGTCCCGATGCGAGGCGCGCGTGTCACGTGAGGAACAAACACTGCGGTGGGGAAGCAGCGGCGGACCGCCCGCGATGCGTCCGCGCTTCAATATTGTCCGAATGGGTGGAAGAGGGGGGGGGGGCAGTGCATTGTTTGGGTGAGGAAGGAGCAGGCACGCATTAAGTGCTCTAATGACCACCACTTGGCGCGCTGCCACCGACGGGCCCATGTCATTCGGCGGCCATCGGTAATTGATTTGTCTCCGTGTCGTTTGTCTTCATTTCGGTCGCAATGCGGGGTGCACGCGGCGAGTGCTAATGAAAGGCGCGTTCGATGCGCCCCATCGGACGCCACGTCGGCTGCTGCGCCCGGGCTTCTGTTTTAGTTTCAGCGAAGAGCCCGCACACGCACCCGTTTATTTCACTCGAAATGTCTTCTCTGTAGACACACGCATGCTTGCGAATCACACGAGCATGGAAGTGGAACGACTAACTCGCCTTCGAATGCAAGGACAGCCAAGAAACAAGTTTGTAGGATAGATCTACCGTGAACGACATTAAGAAAGATGGTTAACGGCGCGTGAGTTGCATGCAAATCTTCTTAGTTTTGTCGTGGGCATTGCAGATTGTCGTTGTATAAGTAACTATGCGGTAGCAACTGGCGCAAGGAAGAACTGAGGTCAACCGCACACCTTTAGTTTCTTGCACTCTCGGGTGTTCATTCTGTTCCCTCTATGCTCGTCTCCACGTTGAACGTGTCAAAGTTGAGGTGAGTTCACCTGCCTGACGTATAGAAAGAAGTTCCATGCACATCGCCAAGCCTTGCTGGCTGCTTATGCATAGTCCTCAGCATTGTATAAATGTTGAAATAAAATTTTATTTGATTTCATTTGATTTGCTGGTGCAGTGACGACGTTCAGATCTACTGTTTATCTATGCCAGCTCCCCAATATTCTCTTTTTTCTTTTTTTTTAGGGGGGGGGGGAGGGAATCGCCGCATGAGTAAACGAGATCGACACAGAGACTCATGGATATAAAAAATGCATACGGGCGAATATTCTTGACAATTTGTATTTTAAGATAACGTCATTGCAGTACAGCGATTGCGAATCATCTTAATATGCTACAGCAACATTTTCATTCGCGACGAATGTGCTCGAAGCCCGACGTCCACTGGTTTCTCATTAAACGATTTTTTTTTTGTTTTATACTGAAAGTCAATCGTCATTTGTTTAGTTTCTTATTGGTTCAAACGGAGTGTAACTGCCGGTCATAAAGGTGTATGCCGTTGTGAACTCTTCTCGCAAGCTTGACTATACTATATGCGGTATAAGCAGTAAACTTGCGAGGCCTTCGGGAATGAAAGCGGCTATTTATACATGCATGAGCCACAGCCTGCGTTCATGGTCGTTCCTTCCACTAGGTCTACACTAGTTGTGTCAGCCCATTGTCTGAAGTGCAGAGCGTTGCCTAGCGCCGAGATAACGAGTCGGACCTTCACGCAAGGACAGCCCTTGCAGTCGCCCACGCAGCCCGAGACCGCGCCTCGATGGCGCCCTGTAAGTTACGTGATGCGCATTCGCTGCAGCGTATACGCAACCGTGGATGTGCGGGTGCGGTTTGCGTAGTACAAAATCGTAAGTACGAAACTTAAGAAAGGACACCACAAATACTTCACGTATATTATTAGCGAACTTTTGTTATGCAGCGAATCTAAGGGCTCAGACCACATGAAGAAAATTGGAAGCATAGGCAGCATCAGAATCACGATCAGCTACACGAACGTTCGTTTCTTAATGAAGCGGAAGTCGAGAACTGAGCTAGCCTGCGTCTAGGTTTTCTTTCTCTTCTCCTTCATTCACCCATCGTTTTCTTCGCCAGGAAGGCAACACCACCTTAAGGATGCATACGTTGCAAACACGAGGCCGCGCTAATTAAGGGTGGATGACGGGCGCGCGTTTGAAGAACACTTTGCCCGTTCGCGAACATTGCACTGTTGTTTTTTTTGTTTTTTTCAAGGACTGTGTCCTTTCGACGGCATATTTCTAATATATCGTGTACGTACTGCTCACTTCAATCATGCACCATTCCCCGCTGCGGTGGTCTAAGGTACTCGGCTGCTGACCCGCAGGTCGCAGGATCGAACCCCGCCTGCGGCGGCTGCATTTTCAATGGAGGCGAAAATGCTGTAGGCCC